TGGCACTGGATAACGTGCTGCTAAAACTTCACCATTCTCTTCCCCAAAAAAGAAACTTATAAAACATGCTCAGATATTTTTTATGCCCATATTGGTCTGAGTTATTTTTACTGACCAAAATAGAAACCCTTGAAAGCTTGTGGGTTACAACGAAAATGCTAACAACATCAGAAAAATTGACACTAATGCACAAGGACTTCAATTTACTTAAGCATTGGTAACATACAATCCAAGTTCCATCAGATGTTAAAGAATAAACTGCAGCTTTTATCTAGTGGGTCTTTGAGCACCAATGAGGAGTAAATGATTTGATTTTGTAAGCTCAGAGGATTTGTCAGCTGCCTCATAAGTATAATTCTGGCTCTTCATATTCCTGCTGCTTCTAATTTAGCAGGACAGGCTCATAATTGAAGCAAATTAACTATTTACACTTGCCACTTCTACCAGGGGAAGAGGACACATCAGCAGGAAAGAATGAGTGGGAAATTAAATTCTTCCCACTTGTGTCAGATCTGCCCTTATATAAACACATTAACAGTAATTTCATGAGGCGTCAAACATAGGAATAAATACTGAGGGATAAAATAATGAGGTGTTGCCATTGAGCTAACTGTTGCAGCTAATATTATTGTGTATGAATTATGCAGCCTGAAAGAAGGCATATGTTACAGCACTCAAACAGTCGCTTCGCCTGCTTCATCTGATCGTTAAGTTTTGGGCCCCTTAGGTGAATCCATCCTTTTTCCTGCTGCAAGGCCAGTGCAACACTTAAGTAAGCCCACAGAAACACATGCTCACACATACACACGTACATGCACACACTAAGCTGTTCATAGAAGGCCAACTTCATTCCTGCTAGAATTCCAGTTAAATCACTGAAGCTACACCAGAGATTAATTTTGTTGAATAGACATTCAATTCCATTTTTAGTATAATAGCACATTTATTAAGGTCTTTGGCTGAAGTTTTAAAGTTACACTAATGTAAACAAGAACATTTTGTTTGTAATTTGCCATATATACTACTGCTTTACTAGGTCTCCAATTAGAAACCTAAGGTTTATTTAGTACACACACATCTGGTACTGATTTAAAACGACTCTCCTTTTTCATCTAAGGACAGAAAATGACCTAAGTAGCCTTTTTACCTAGTTTGAACCAGCATTCTGTCTGAAAGCCACAGACTTGACCATTTAGCATGCTGAACCCTCTTCCCTGGGGGCTGTTTTTCTCCCCTTTGCAGTAAAAACGTGTGCAAAGGGCAATGATGTACATAAATAGGCTATAAAAAGGGATGCACAGAAAAATAGTATTGACTAAGGAGAAAACAATGATCTTGACAGTAAGAGAGGATCTAGAAAAGCCACTGAAAATATCCCTGTGCTGTGGTTACAGCACTGGGGAGAATTTATCCTAGCATACTACTGCTACAGCTGCTTTCCATTCACAGGTTTACGAATCAGAACACTTTTAGAAAACATTCACAGTGAAAAACGAAGGAAAATGCACAGTCCCTGCTTCTGATTATGTGTCATTATTGTACCCAAATTAGAATTTGAGAAAAAAACTATGACATCATAAGTCCCTTTAATTCCTAGAGCTCTCTATGTATAAAGATTTGGACATACAAAATACAAACACACACCAGAGTTGTTTGAAAATGGTTGTTGTATACTCAGAAATTAAAGGGAACAGTTATAGCGTATGACACAAAAATATAAATGTCTTTATATGGTAAAATGAGAGTGGAAGTACACTGGTATATGCTTTAACCTAATAAATTGCAAGATTTGCATAGTAAGAGAATCAGTGTGTGATAACTTTTAAATATAACCCTAACCTCAGCAAGGCACAGAGCTTTTTTGTCATTCAAATTCTATTTTCTCAAACAACGTTTTCCTAGTTTATTTGCAGTTGGAAAAACATATGTGCTTCTTGCACAAACCCTTTTAAACTACAATCTAATATGTCAGGTTAATATATATATAATTTTTTTTTTACAAAGGCTTGGGCATACATATACTGCCCTCAGGTCGTTACTGTACTGCGTTTCAATACATTTACTTATTCTGTGGTTCTGTGGTCAATCTGCAGGGATAAACAAGAAGAATTCTGTGCATTTCAGAAAAAGCTGGCTCAGGTCATAGAACAGAGAAGATTTCATTCTGGCATAAAAAGACAGGGTTATTCTTCTTTCTCAATAGCTGCATTATGTTCTACTTTCTGATTCATTTATATTTACTATTTAAATAGTAAAAGGAGTTCCAATTCAGGAAACATAATTTGGAAACATAATTCTATTTAAATTCCAGAATAAGCATTTGCTTCCAAAACATAAAAGCCAGAAGCTTTATGATAATTGATTTTTTTTTTTTTCCCCGCAAGTATAATTCATCAATAAAGTATTCCTCTAATGATGTTATTGTTTTCTTAGTTAACTACTTTTGAGTTTCTGAAGCTTCTTCAATGCAAAATTCCAAATAATGCATTAATCATTAGTATTTTTAGAGTCCAATTTCCCTACCAGAGACACAGGTTTCATAACAGTTACTAATGCTCTGGATCTGAAAAATGAGGCCTTTAAAATACAGACTATCTAGTCAGTTAAGATGTCTTGTAATCATTACTTTGTACTATTAGTTCCCTAATGGAATAAAGAATGAGTTTAAATTTATTCTAGAAAATAGGATCTATTTTTTTTTTTTTAATAGGGAAAAAATCTTTTATTCTTTTTGTGCAATGCTAGATTAGAAAGAGCCTGGGCCTGGAGTTTTAACAAGTACTTAACAGATGATAATGAATAGGCAAAATGAGTCAAAGAGCAACAAAGACATGTTAACCAAACTCTTGGAATAATTGGTTTAAAAATTCAGTTTTAGCCATTTTTTCATGGATGTGTTATGTGGATTCTGCAACACATCATTCTCCTGTGTTCCAACTTAAATTAAGGACAACTGAGATAAGGAAAATAAATTGTGTTCTGCTGTTCCACTGTGGGACTTACTCAGTTATTGCTTTCAACCAGAAAAGGAATCCAAGTTAAAGCTGGAAATTTTATTTATTTTTTATACACTTAAGCCAAATTCGATGGAAAGACTGGTAACTTTCTTCTGGTACTAGTAAAACGACAAATTCCATGGAAATATGTATTCTTTTAGCTTGATCTCCATTATATGGTGCTAGACTGTTGCATGAATTTAAGTCTTCTGTTTTGTAAGCAGAGCAAAAATTATGGAAATAAAAACGCAACAGCCACATATTTAGGTCATTATGAAAAACAGGGGAGAAAAAACAGGCACAAAATTTGGCGAAATAATTTTTCTGGTTGGTGTCACCACTAGAGACAGATAACTAGACAGACATTCTTGAGAAGTCTGGGTCTTTGCCTTTCACCATGTCAGAAAAATCTGGATACACAATCCCACAGGCAAACAAGATGGGTCCAAAATATAGATCTAAGTACTTGGAGTATTCTTAGGTGTGTTAGGGCATGCAGATTCAAACATGGGGAGTGATTCTGGTCTAGGACGTTTCTTAAGGGTAGAAACTATAGTCTCTTAGCTTCGGCCTGAGGTCCTGGCTAAGTACAGCAGGTACAGCAAGTTGCTTCTTGAACTGCCTTTTGGGTAGTCTGCTGAGCAATGGCTACTCCTTGAATGGTTTAACATTCTCCCTGCTGCCAGCTTGCAGGTATGCAGGACAAGGAGAACTGGCATGAAAACCTCTTGTTTGTGAGCTTAACAAAAAGCATACTCTGAATTTTTTTAAGTCAAGAATGAATACCCACCATCATATTCCCAAAAAAGTAATGCCCAGCTATGAGAGAACCTCTGTACTGGGAAGGTCTAAACAGCCTGTCAGATCAAGGATGTAACCTTGGCCTTTGTTGGACATACTAAAAATGGTAGAAGGAAGACCCAACACAACAAAATAACCTTAATCATAGAATCTTAGAACCATTTACATGTTAGCCAATCATTTAATCACATCATTTACATGTTAATCAAGCCCAACCAGCACCCTGACTTACGAAGTCCCATCACCAAACTATGTCTCTAAAGCACCAGGCCAAGTGAGATTTCTGAACCCTAGATATAGAAAGCTACCTTTCTTCAAGCTAAACCTTCCCAGTGCTGACCTTATGCCAGGGTACATACTGGATAGAGTAAGTGCCAAATCTGGATTCTTATTACCCTTTTACCTTAACAGGCAACTAGACATGCATATACCTTCAAGTTATTAGTGAAGAAAACCTTTTTTTTTTCAAGCCCAAATGACTTTACCTACAAAAAATCATAGTACTATTTTGCTTTTTATTGCTAGACATACTAAACTATATTAATTATGTAATAATAGTATGGTCAGTGTGAATAAATGAGAGGTACTTTTGTTCCAGTACTCCCTGTATTCCCTGTCTGTCCCCACCCAGGTATCCTGTATCCAATTATAATGCCCATTCAGTATATCCCTCCACACCTGTATCTTTCTTCAAGTTCCCATTTCTTTATCTATCCAATCCATTCTGTTGTCAGATAGCAAAAATGCAACCAATAACAACAGAAAAGTGATGGTTTGCTAAAGAGAGGATGAATGGTATTTGGGGGAACAATTGGGAGCTCAGATATGTGTCAGGTCCTACTGCACAGAAATATTTTTTGGTGGCAATGTCTTCTTACGCCACGCTGTCATAGACAGTGCAATGCTGCCCTTTCTGCCCTGCTCTGAAATCTTAGGCCCACTGACTTCAGCATAAACAAATACTAAACATCATCTAAAGGTTTGTTGTCACACCCTCAACTAAAAAACTCTTTTAGTCATTTCATACGTTGACAAAAGAAATGAAATAATACTCTCCTTATCTTAGTCTCTTTAAACCATGTTCCTGATATCGCACATATTCAGGTTTCATCCCTGCAAACAAAAGAAGCTGCCTACAGTGCTTAGATGACCCAGATAACATTTTCCTGAAACAAAGCCTCTGAGCTGCAGCACATATTGTACCTGTTTTTGTTCTTCTCCTAAGCCGTCCCACATTGAAGCTACAATTTTAGAGACTTCGCCAAAAGTAGCATTGGGGTTTTGGCCCTTGATGGCTGCTTGAGTGTCTCGGAAGAATAATGCATAGGCAGACACAGGCTTTTGTGGCTCATTTGGGTCCTTCTTCTTCTTTTTTTTGGGAGTTTTGGGTTTCTTTCCCATATCTGAAGCAGGTCTCTTCTCTCCTCCATTGACCTGTAACAAAATTAGAAAAGTGCTATGAAAAATGCCAATTTAATTCAGTCCATCATTACAGTTTCTGTAACACACACACAGATTTTGGATTTTGTACGCAAAAACACAATTTTAGTTGTCATATTTGATAATCCAAATGTTGACACCATCTGACTTAGTCTCCTATATAAAATTTGCTATAAACAGTTTGGATTATGTAACTTTTCCCCTCAAAGGGCTTTATATTTTGCTTTCATGTAATTGTTATCCTTGCATGTAGTTCACTTGGTCATCTTCTTACTTCTTCCAAATTTTATCATTAATGGCTAGGACATGCAGTAAATCCAGGACATGTTTCATTACATCCTGACCACCAGTTCAGTCTCAGTCATGAGAACCTGACTGTGAATAAAATGGTTCAAGGTATAGAGAAACTACTGCACACCTTCTATTTAAAATCTGAAGAAACAAATTTTTGCCAGTATAAACAGTCTGGAACCCTTTGGAGGACCAGTTCTGATCCATCTGGATTTAGCTGCATAGTTTTTTCCTCTGCTTATATAAATGCAAATTCCTTATGGTCTGAGAAAAGGATAAGAGGAATGGCATATGAAGAGCAGTGAACGTGCACATGTGTGTACTACTTGAATAAAATAGTGCATGAGTATTTATGCAAATGTGTTACAGGCAACAAAAATTTGCCACTTAATAGCTCAGAGATCTTGATCAGGACAGCACCCTCTTTTCCTAGGTGATTTACATGCACATAAGGGGACATAAGGGGACACTGTTCAGATGCTTCAGCATAGCCCCATGGCTATGTGGTTTCTCTTGATAAGATCACTTGGTTTACTACACCTGTAGCACTGATGTATGATCTTACTAGAGGGCTCAAGATTTTTTTCTCTTGTTGGTTTTGTCCAGTGCACTGTGTACATCAAGCAGTTTGACATTTGAGAAGATCAAGAGCACTGAAATCATAATTGACCAGATCTGACTTTCATCACATGCCTTTTTTTTTTTTTGATAATGCATATCAAGTGACACAGCAGTGATATTCAAATCAGCAGAACCACATGAGGAAAATGACAATATTCACCATCTGAGCCTTTCGTATTTTTCTTATATACTTCACTGTGTGGTGCCCAACTGGACAGAGGTGACTACAGTGAACAAACTTGATCACTGTGGCTTATTAAACATGTGAACAACATGATTCCATAATTTGAAAATGAAGTTGATTGTTTCCTAGGCATTACATTACAGTATGTACTTTGTAACTTTAATACAAAGTTAACAGCCATGGAGCCTGACATCATTTTAGAAAGTATGGAGAAATAGAAGCAGTGTGGTAGCTATTATTAATTTATCCAACTTTTAGACTCTTGCTATCATTTCATCCTACAGAGTACCCAAACTGCCAGCTAAATGGTAGTTAAAACTACTAGAGAAATTGTGATTAACTAGGTCTCCCCAGTTAATTTGACAATATCATTCTAAAGTCTTCATGTAGTTCTATGCAAACTCGATAAGCAAGGAGGCTTGACAGCAATTGGGGCCAGAGTAACAGTTTTTATCTTTATTCTTTGTCAAGGCTTACCTCTTTTCAAAGTATTTTTTTCACCATGAAATTTACTGGTTCTTTGTCTATTAGGGTACCACATTACTTAAACTACTCTTAAACTAGGTGATATGCCGCAGAGACTTGTGTAAAGAAGCCTTTTGGTAAACTGTTCTGAGAATGGCTCTAAAATCGTATTTTCTAACCTGAACAATCAAGAGTCTTCAAAAACCTACTGTTAAAAAGAGAGTACTCACAGGGGAAATTTTGTTTGTCTTATATGAAAATAACTAAATAAAAAGAATACCAGAATTTCAGTACTAATAACCTTGCAAATGACTGAGATGATGGTCTACCTTATGCTCTCATCACTCTATCAGCTTCATAGACCCTACTTCTAACCACCAAAGCAGAGACAGATGGGAAATAAAATAAAAAACATATACTCTGCTAGGCATAGACTTGTGCCTCAAAATCCCTGGAGGTGTAGTTAGCTCATGGTAATCCACCTCCTGTCACGGCTTATTGCTTAATTATGGTGATGTATTTAACTTATTTATCACAAGAAAGCAATAATCTTTCACTTTAAAGAAGTGTACATTAACCATGTTGCACACATAATAGATCACAAGAATATCTAGTGTAGGATTTAAAACTATCAAGTAAGGCACATCGTTGATATCTAAATGTCCCTTGAGAAGCTGGAAAATGTCTATAAGCATATTTAAAATAAACTGCAATAGTACCAAAGCCTTTAATGGAGCTAAGAGAGCTGTTTTATGCACACTATCTTGCAGTAATCGCTGTAGTTTAAAATAGATTTTAATCAAGCACCATCTGCATAATAGGCTGAACAGACAACATAGAATTCTACTTATAACTCTTATCATATAAAGTAAATATTGTAAAACCTCTACCACATAAAGAGAATATGTTGCAGCAGTTCTTTAGTAATTGTGTTTCTGTTACTTAATTCTTGCTACTTGCAGTCCTCTCGCTATCCTTCCTCTAAACTACATTATTTGAAAATCTCTCATAAGTGATATTCAAATGAGCATAGAAGAAAACCCTGTTATCCATCTATGAAGAAATACATATTTGCAAACCAATAATGCTTCCAGCATTTCACAATTATGCTTGGCAATAACCAAAAACATGTTTAGTGATCTAACAGTATGAAAAATGACAAGAATTACATAACTGTAATATTCCAGTGTTTAGGTGGTTGGAATAAAGCATGTGGTAAGTGGCCACTTTGTTTGTAATGTTTTTTTGAGTTACTTACAACTATTGATTTTTAAGTTCTCCCCTTTTTTCTTCTTCTAACTATAGTCCCACATGTTACATTTAGAATTAAGGAGACTTAGGGATGTATACTACTTACACAAACAGTATAATTGGTCAAAGACTATAGCTCATACTTCCATGAACATAGGCCACTTTCTGACAGTATATATACAGCCTTATATTCATAGTACTGTTACGATTAATCTAATGGTCAAGCAGCCTCAGCTGTCCTGCTTTTACAGCAACACCATCTAGGACAACTGAGCTCTCTATAATGCAGTTCCTATCCTATTTTTGTGCTAGAGGGTATATGTACAATTCAAAGTCCAAGATGCCTACGTGAAACAGCCTTTATTATAACGAGTATAGCCAAAAATATTTAGCAGCTGCTGCCATTAGTTCTGTATACATTGGACTCAATTTTGAACAATTTGAATATTTATCATAGAATGAACTTCCTGGAAGCTCAACATATGAACAATTACATCAGTTTGTAAAGTTTCCTCATTACTGGCATTTGGAATATGTACTGAAATGTAGCTGAAATGGCTATTTCTTACCTGCATAGAAATTAGTGGTTCAATAGGAATACAATTATATTTCTAGTCCAAACATACATTTGCTCGTACCTTCTGTCAACACATTTTATAAATTCATGCAAACATGAACAGGACAATGAAATTTCTTTATTTTTTTTTCTCTAGATAGATATAGTTAGGGATTTCTCTACCAAATCTGCTATCAAAGAACCAGTGGTTTCTCTTTCGTTTGTAAGGTTGGACATTTAGATGACAGAAACTAACAGAGGTCATCTGACTTTGAGATGATGGAGACCTATTCCATTTGAAAATGTATGTTGTATTTTTGATCAATGCTTGTACAGTGGCAAACATCTTCTCTTGCTTGCTAAATAGCAGTGTCACTAGTGATATTAATGATAAGGTGAATTCACAGTGATTTGTTTTTTACACAGTCCTCATAGCAGGAACATCTTACTAACTTCATGAAGATGTTCATATGTGGTGAGACAGCCTTCTACAAGCCTTCAACATGTGCACTTCTATCTAAACAGAATAAGGAGTTCTAGCCCTGATCTATTAAGTAGTATCACACCTCTACATGACAGTTTATAGGAAAAAGAGAAAAGTTTAACCAAAGTTAGGTATATTCAGGTAAAAGACAGAGGTTCTCACAAGGGACACAATGACTGCCTCTTCCTGTCCACATCCAGTACCTTTCACTAGGAGGAGAATTTCTGGAGTGAGAAGAAACTTCACATATCCCTCCAAAGCAGCACTGAGAAAATTTAATACATTGTGGCTGTGGAAAAGGATCTCCACAGCAAGCTGGTTATCTCTAATATCTACATATCTCTAATATCTATCTACATAGCAAGCTAAGTATCTCTATCCATGAATGCATTGTCGGTTTCCAGGGAAAGCAATGTAACAGAAAGATACACAGCAGAGGGGTTTAAATAATAAGCTATAACACTACACTAGCTTTTTATGCCAATTATTCAAAATCTCTTGCCTTTATGGAGGAAACTATAGTGGAACTATTGCTTCAGAATCCAACTGTGGCCAGCTTCAGGCATTTTGAGGAAGACGTAAGAAATCCCTGAGAAGACAGGTATGATATAATGTACCTGCCATAAAGTTTACAGTTTAATCTCTATTAGTTGGAAACTAATTTAAGCTTTCTATCATTATTAACCAAGTTTAATATCCCTGAAAACATTGCTGTTTGAACAGAAATTATGATTATTGAAAAATTTTAAGGCAATGTATCAACTTCTGCATACTGTTATTTTTCTCAATTTCTGTGCCTTTTCTCATACTTTTTTTGTTTACATTGAGCATGAGAGGATTTTAAAGAGAGTTTTCCAAACTACCTTTTTTTTTTTTTTTTTAAAGTTGAACAGTATGTAATCTGTCTTCCACAAAGGACCAATTTGTACTTGGTCTGCAGTGATTATTATCTCTTTATTAAAATTATTGTCTTCATTTGCTTCATGAAGTCACAATCCTACACTTCTGCTAGCATTAAGTGTTGCAGTGGAAAAGTACATCAGAAATATGGGTTAAATAAATGAAGTATTTGATAAAAGAAAAAAGGACACCAATTATTTGATTGGGTGTTTCTCCAGGACTTTACAGTATCTTGCACACTCCCATCAAAAAGTACTAGCAAAGAAAATGGAGTAGCAAATAAATTATTCTGAAAAAGTAATGGCTGCCTGGAATTATTTTTACCTAGTAGTATTCTAAAATCTCCCTCAGTAACGAAGTACTCATTTAAAATGTATGAATTATTCAGTAATTTTTGAAACCTAAAGTTTGAGGAATTAGGTGAAAGACCTGAAATAAAACTTTAAATCTGAATTTATTTAAAATGCAGTAAAACATATCTCTTCAATTACATGATTATTTTATAGCTTGAGGCATGAAAAACAATATAATTTGAAAACAAATCAGAATTATATTTCTTGACTGGATTATACCTCCTCAGTGACTCACAATGCATTTTCTTCACATTCCTTGCAAGTCTACAGCTTTTCCCCACAAGATATGGCCATGATACAACATCTTCACTACTGCATAACAATTGTTATTTGGTAGTAACCATAAAATAGAGCTAAGAGGTTTTCAATTTCAATATGTTCTATGCCTGGTTTATTGGATGACTTTGTGCTAAGCCCCAATCTTTTTTTTATCTCAGCTTTTGTGTCTGCAAAATTAAGATATACTGACTTATTTCTGCACATGTGTTCAGGATTTGGGGAAATCTGGGAGATTTTTACGTAAAAGGTCCTAAGTAAATTATCATTTATCATTTAAATAAAGGTTATTTTATAATTTGAGTGATAATTATTACTTTTATACTTGCAGGAACACTAAAATGAAGCTTAAATATGTCATGCTGGAGTGTTGTCACTTCCAAAAGCATAAATGCATAACGAGTCTTCAAGTTTTTCAAGGTAAGATTTTCGGTTTGTTTCTGTTCTGGTTGATATGATGTGCTGTTTACTCATTCTGTGACCAAGTAGAAAAGACTAGCAAAAGACTAGCATATTGTACACATCATTCATACATTTTATAGCAGTAACTTGATCTTTAACTGGGTACAAACATCCATTCTATGCAAATGAGAAAACTCAACTTTTATATAAAAGTCCTAAAGGAATGGCTCTTTTTTTTATTATTTATTATTATTATTATTAATTTTATTTTTTAAACAGGATTCCATTTTTCTCACAAAGAAGAATTATGAATTAAGAATTATCAAGCTGCCTGAATAATTGACTGGAGCTATAAGTTCTGTATTCATAACCCTTTATTCACTTCAGTCAACCACCAACAATGTATAAAGTATCACCTTAATAAGTGTGGCCATATGATTTAGCAGGTCCTAAAAATATCCATCATTTACATAGTAGTCCTAGCATCTAAGCCTACCTTAGAGCTATCTTCTCCTTCATCTTCATGGACTGAACTGGATGGTGAAGGAGTTGCAGATTTGCTTCCAGGTGGAGAGGGTGAGTTGTGAGGAACATTGTTTCCACCCATATTCAAACCAAGCTGTGCACTGAGCTGGGACTGGTTAATAGTAGTCAGCTGCCCGTGCTGCATCATTCCTGGCTGCCTAATATCTGCAGGTTGAACCCTTGGCCTCATGGTTGCCATCTGAGGATGGGAACTATACTGGGCTCCTTCTGTATTCCGTAAATCTTGCATCTACAAGAGGAAAAAAACTGCATTAAGCATATCACTAATAAAGTGTTCTGTTCTTTTAGACCTCTGTTGGCCTGATTGGATATATAAGGCTTAAAAGAAATGGCAAGTACTTAAATAAACATATAAATACTGGAAATAAACAGAATAGGATATGATTGACATTTGCATAACACTGACTGTTATAAACTATTCAGGCTCTAGCCTGTGGGAATTGCAAAAAGCACTGAAAGCTTGTTTCTTTATAGGGAGAACAAAAGGGCACTGCTTTCTGTAACTGTGTGTTGAGTATTTCAGAAATGCTAACAAATGGGGGCAGGTTTGCATTCTGAAGTTTAGAGCCAGATTAGAACATGAATATCCTTGAAATTCAAGGCTATTTCCAGATCCTACTTTTCTTCTTAAGATTCGTTTGTATTCAAGCTGTGAATTTGGAAGCTGGAGTTTTCAGATTTGGAATATATAGTAGTAAACCAAAATCTGTTTTGCCTGATGTTGCCCAATGAGATACTGAAATGCTAAGGTTTCAGACTACTGACAGAAAGGATCCATTGATAGACTGATTAAATGATTTCTGAGTTGATTTGCTGCTGAGACATATATGACCAGAAAGCTCGTAAGTTGCAGGATTGACAAATGAATCCATTGTGCTATGTGGGTCACCGCTTCTCAGCATTAACAAGACATACTATTTTAATTCAAGCAACAAATTCAGTCTCTGCAAGGATAAGAATTAAAAGCATTGGAGGATGAAACTCCATTCTTGTCCAGAGGTCAAATGTACCATACACGCACACTACAGGAGATTGCCTATAACGTCTTTTCAGTATACTCATACTGAACATGACAAAAAACAAAGAGTATCAAGGAGAAGCTCGGAGTTAAGCTAAGGTGTTATGTGGGTGATTTAAAATTGAAGTGTCAATTCAAAGCTGAAATGAAATAGATATAGTTGTCGTTCAGTGCATCAGACAAACATGCCATACATATCAAGTGGAATCTGACAGCAACTACCGTTGTGTAAGTTCCATTATGATAAGGACACATGTTAATGGTTCAATGTATTAACACAGCCACATTTAATCTACAGACTTGTCATCCAAAACATCTAAAGATGGCTCTTTTTTTTTTTTAACTACTTATATCTCGTGACTTCCATAACCTATCTCTCTCTCATACACGCTCTCCTATATATCAGAGCAATCTGTGAGATACTTTTCAACCAGCAAGGCACAGAGAAAGAAAAGATAAACCTGTAACTTCACCTCTCCTCTTATTACTGAGAGAGTAAAAAATTACAAATTTTAGGGAGATATTTTATGAGCTTAGGGATTGATTTTTATAAGGCTGACTGGCTAGCAGTAAATCAAACTAATAATAGCATTAGTTCTGGAATACTTACCACTTTAAATGTATGTGTATCTCTGAGAAGTATTTGGAATACATTCTGCAAACGTGACATCACAATTATACCTGTATTTATATTGCTTCAGAAATTAATAGCTTTTGGTAAGAAAGGGTTATCAATACAAACACTTTCAAGTTCACTTAATGACTACTAAAGCACTGGAGAGGAGAGACAGAGCAGTGTATGAAATTAATTGAAGGCTGAAATTTGAATCCTGACCGTCATTCATACGTTTAAAGATTGCTACTGACTTGTTCCCTTCCCTCCAGTACCAGCTCCCCTTCTAGTCAAACATATTAGCCTTGAAAGCTATCATTATCGCTGCCTCTAGCAGACAATCCACACCAAAGCAGTTGTGTCCATAAAGCTCTAACTACTCCTCCTCCCCATCTCCCCGGATCCAGCTGTTTCACTGAATAGCAGTTGGTGGGGGTGAGCAGGAAGGCAGGCCGCCCCCAGGCCGTCTCCTAATGGCGCTCACCAGCTGCCGTGTGGCCTGGCGCCAGCAGGGACGGGAGGGGTGCTGGGTCCCTGGTGAACCGGGGAGGGAGGCACCTCTGAAAGCACCCTGGTCACCCCATCTGCTGCATGCAACACCCAGCATGGATCAGTACCCTCCCAGGAGATTTTGCATTAAGCATAGTGTTGCCTGCAGACTGAGGGAGGTGGTCCTTCCCTGCTGTTCAGCACTGGGGAGGCCATGCCTGGAGTATTTCGTGCAGTTTTGGGCTCCCCGCTACAACAGAGACCTGGGCATACCAGAGGGAGTCAAACTAAGGGTCACAAAGATGACTGAGGGACTGGGGCAGCATTCCTCTGAGGAGAGGCTGAGAGAGCTGGGACTGATGAAAGGGAAGATCAGGGGGGGAATCTCATCAATGCCTGTAGTTACCTGAAGGGAGGGTGCAAAGAGGATGGAGCCAGGTTTTGTTCCAGCTTGTGCACAGTACCAGGACAAGAGGCAATGGGCACAAACTGGAACCTGGAAGGTTCCATCTAAACATCAGGAAGAACTTCTTTACGGTGCTGGTGGTGGAGCACTGGTAAAGGTTTCCAAGAGGGGCTGTGGAGTCTCCCTCCTTGGATATCTTCAAAAGCCACCTGGACGTGGTCCTGGGCAACCTGCTCTGGGTGGCCCAGTCTGAGCAGGGAATTGGACCAGATGATTTCCAGAGGTCCCTCCCCACCTTAGCCTTCCTGTGATTCTGAGATTACATGAATGTGTATCCAAATGATTTTATGAAGTCTGGAATGGAAAAGAGCACTATCTTAAACTCCTGAAAACTGTTTCAGTCTTCTGAATGAATATGCTAAGTATCTGTCTCATTAAAAGCAGGGCAAAGGTTATAATTTTATTTTTTTTTTCCAAGTAAAACAAAATAAATTTGTTATTTTTCAAACGCTCTCTCCTTTATTAAAAACTCTTCATATGAATTTCAAATATTATCTGATGGATACTGCAGAGCATTCTGTCTGTCATCTTTAAACAGCATATATTTATAATTAATCTGTGTCCAGTTTAAATCAACACTGAACATACACTGATTTTAGGTAACATGACAACAACTGGACAGTTTTGGACATATAATACATATATACATATTTGCAAGAGAGCCATTCACTAAGGAAATTCTGAGGACTGCAAAAGGGGTGGTGCAGTAGAAAAAAAAATATATTAAAATGGTATTTTTCTTTTCATTGTGATTCAGCTTGTCTTTTGAACTTTTAAATTATATGAATACCAGGCTACCTTTACAAAACCAGGAGTAAATAGCATGGTGACAGCTTGCTTAAAAGTACACATTTCCTTTTAGATGGAAAGCCAGAAACTGTCATCTAAAGGATATGCATGCAGAGAAAAGTGTGAGCTGGCTGGGAACATGCCAATGACATCCATGCAGAAACCTGTGTCCTTCAGCAAGGAGGATCAATGTGGCTCTGCATTTGCAGATGATATTTCTGTCTCGTCTTTCTTTGCCATGCTCTGCACAGCCTTCCCAAATCATGACCCTTCCTAGGGGAACAATGGGATTGTCTAAGAAAAATGGAACTTGAGTAAGAACAGGCAGCTGACCACATTAACTGTGAAATGTTACAATGTGGAAAGCATGTGATGTTGAATCTTCATGTTTCTAAGGAATCAAAAGACTTCAAGAACAGTCCCAGCAATGAAAACCACATACTTCCACAGCCACTGTAGTGTGACAGTATGTCCCTGTTTCCTTATAAACTACTTCAAAATCAGAAGCTTCCTATTGCTTGTTCTGCCAGATGGACTTTTACAAAGCCCACCAGTATGTGGCTGTGCTGGAGCCATATCCAGTATGCAGAAGCAATATTGTAAACACACTCTGCTGAATACAAAGCTGAATATAACTCCTGTTGAATGGCAGAATACCAAATGGAAGAACAAAGTTACAGAATTTGTGTGTTACAGAGGATAAGGACAGTCTTAAACTGACATGTTCAATGGCCTTTCTGATGAGGTAATAATGATATTATCTGGAACTTTAATATCATTCTCCATCTATCAATTCAATGTTTCACAACTTGTGTTGTATTCAACATTAGAACATGCCTGGTTCTATGTTGGTTTGACTAATGGGGAAGCTATGATACATTTCTTTACATGGGTTTTCTTTTTCTTTTTCTTTTTCTTTTTCTTTTTTTTTTAACTGTTTGCATTTCATTTATAAGCAGAAACTGAGCATCCATCCATGTAAGTGTTTGACTGCAAGTTAAAAGACATAGTAAGAGCATTTAATTCTGAGGTGTGTACCAATAACCTACCTAATAGTAACATATTTAGTGCACTACCAGCAGAGTTCATTTGTTATCTGGCTGAAAACAATCTCCTAATGCCCTGTTCAAAGCTCCTACGGTAGTAAGAACAAAACTAAAGTGCTTTAAACATCAGACCATCATTCTTCCCATCAGCTTAAAGCAACAATGAAGAAAAGCATGCTATGCAGAACACAGCCATATCATCCCTACATAGAAATATCTCGCTGTGGGACAATATGAATACAGTACGCTAATCACAGAATCACAGAAAATAGTGCTAGAAGGGACCTCAAAAGGTTATTTAGTCCAACACTTTATCTCACAGCAGGATTAGCTATACCTAAATCATTTCTGACAGATGTTTGTCTAACCTCTTCATAACCTCCCTAGGCAATTCTTGTGCTTAACTATCCTTACAGTGGAAAGAGCTTTTTTTTTCCGTAATGTCTCACCTAAATCTCCTTTGCTGTAATTTAAACCTACTACTTTTTGCTCTAGTCCCAGTGGACATGAGGGATGTTTTTCCCCTTCTTTACAGAAAAGTTGTACACACTAGAAGGCTATTATGAATTTCCTTTCAGTTTTTTTCTTCTCCAGACTAAACAACTAAACCTGAAGATTGAGACTCTATATATATATATATATATATGCTGTGTTTTATACGTTTATGATCATTCTTCCTGATATCTTCTGGACTATGTCCAACAGTCTTTGTCTTTATTGAAATATCACACCCCAAACTCCACAAAATACAGATATTTTTATCTGACACAGCATTCAAATAGAATCCTTCAAGTCTCTCACAGGATCT